CAAAACTTTAAAAAAAAAAAACAAAAAAAACAGCGCAGCCGCAAGAAGAAAAAAGAAGAAATCCTCGAGTTCTTTGTGAAACGACACGGCTCAAAATGTAAGCAAAACGAAGAAGCCGGCTGGCTGGGTGGACAAAACCAGTGCGCTGCGCGTTCCCCCCGCATGGCCAACCCACCAGTGCCGTATGAAATGGCCCCAGGACAATGACCAAGCAGGGGAAGAGAGGAGATCTACCTGACTGGGGGTACTATGCCGACGCCAGGCGCCGTTTTTTTTTTCTCCCCCCCTTTTTTTTTTTTGAGGTGCGTCGTTGTCCATGGTTTACTGACACTTTGCTTTACTTCATAGCCTTTTTTTTTTCTGGAATTTTGTGTGGGAAGGTTGTGCCGCGATTTGGTGGGTAACCAGCCGTAACAAAAACAGAGGCACGTGCTTCCACTTGGCTAAGGGCAAGCCGAGTACCCATGGGAACACAGAGGTGTGGGGGGAGAGGGGGGGCGGGAGGGTGCAGGCATTGTTCTGTAGGCCTTGAGCCAAACGCACGCGGGATTAGCATACTGCCCAGCACGGTAGCACCCCCTGGAAAATGTCAGCAGGTGCTCAAGCCCCCGTTGACCCCCCCCCCCCCCCCCCCCCCCCCCCCCTCGAGTTCCGGCAGGTTAAGAAAACTCGGACAATATCCGCCCGCAAAACCCCCTACCCTTTCCACTTTAGCAGAGTAAACACTGGAGAGGAGAAAATCACGAATCATGGCGAGCGGAGAGCTTTGTGAGAGGGTCTTGACCTACCAAGCTATATCAACTCTCACACTTTGAGGAGGAGCAGACTTTTCCAAAGAATAATTGCGATCCTTATTATCCGAGGAAAAATATACACGGTTTTAAAGGGGACACATGCATTTGCCCAATCAAGTCGTCCAAATTCCTGAGTGACAGCCCATTGCCAACCAGGAAATCCGACAGAACACGCTTCCAGATCTCATCCTCATTAACAGCAATGCTTAGCGGAGATTCCAGTTAGAAACCTTTCACTTTACGGCTGATTCGTCTCTCGAATTAAGATATATGTAGACGTATCTCACATTAGGTTTACGTTACTTTGTCAAAACGTGCACGCGTTTCAAACACCAAAAGCGCCGTTCGTCTTTCAGCAACCAGAGGCTCGTAAAAACGACTTCGCGCGACACATGAATAATTCGCGAAACTTTTTTCTTTTTTTTTGTTCGTTTGTTGCTCGAGGGGGAGCGAGTGAGACGGAAGACGAAGCCATGTCCTCTCTCAACAGTGCGCGGCCGCAACACTGTACAAGCTGGGCTGCCTGGCTGCCCTTGACCGCGCCACTGTAGAAGTAGAAAACGCAGCTTGGCGGAGTTTTCTGCTTCAGTCTCCTCGCCACCGATAGAAGTGGAAAGGAGGGCCTGATCGTCTCATCTGACTCTGGGAGAGGGGGAGGGCAGCGTGCGCACTACTTCTTTGTCAGCTTTTGCTTTTTAAACTGTGCATTTCCAAATAAACAAAACACAAAAGTTACGATTTGTTTGTAATTTTCATCGAGTCAAGATCTTCAATGATTGTATCTTCGTTGGTATATTCAATAAGTGATAGCTCATTCAAGATATCTTCTTTGAATATATCTTTATTGGTAGGTTCAGATTATATATTTTGATTTAATATATTTGTTTTTATAATCAATATATTTTTGTAGAGCGAAGGTACTTTTATTTATATACTACAAATATATATTTATTTACTTACAATGAATACATCTTTGGTCTATTTTTATTAAATGAAGATATATTGATTTACATACCATGAAGATGACTTCATTTACAAACAATGAATTTACTTTGGGTAAATATAACTTCACTAAATATGTTTTTCTTTTTTTTGTAGCGTCGTGATTTCATTTTGCCCGCGCTGCAGTTAAGAAAGAAATTAGTTGACTAAAGGGCGTCTAACTAAATAACTACAATTCAATCGTTAAAAAATAAATCACATACTTGTCGCTAGCGCGATTTATTTAGAAATTCAATGAAATTAAATCAAATTTGAGGAGTACGAGAGAGGTATTAAAACGCATTTTAATATCAATCGTTAAAAAAAAAAATTAGCAGAAAGTAATGTTTTCGTAAATTCTAAAAATACGCCCGGAAGTGCAGCGACCGGTTGTATGTGCCACGTTACCATTTATCTTCAGGCTGTACTTACTTACTTGCAGTAGCGTAATAAAGCGCAGAAACGCCGGAATCTACACAGGCCTCGCCCGCCGCTCGCGAGAACGCCCCTTCCTTATCTATCAGGTCAGTGGAGGCGACGCTGACACAGCCTGCACCAGATTTTAGCGAGTTTTAGTAGACCGTGTTTTCCGCTCCGCTAAGCCCCTCCGCTACCCGGAACTCTACAGCCAAGGCCATCGGCGCGCAGGCGCAGTGGCGGTTTCTTCGTAGCGGAGGGCTAGCGGAGCGGGAAACACGGTCTACTAAAACTTCCTTTTATGTTCACGTCTGCTTCGATTATCTCTCTTACAGCCTTGTCCTTATGGCTGGCAAAAACAGTGCACGCGTTGAACGGCGGCGAGGCCTGAGGATTTGCTGAAATGATCGCGGTGCATATACGAGTACTTCCCAAATCACGGCGATTGAACAGTTGATGTCAGCGCTCTGTGTTGTCCAGTCTCCCCCTTTGTCCTCGTCTCAAGCACTACCATGTTTTTGAACACGCAGTACCAACTCACCCAACAATCAGCGCTGATCTACAGCGTATCCTCGAACGGAATTGTCTGGTTTTCACCGCGAAAATAAACTATGCCTGGCCAAACGACCAGGCTCCGCCAAAACGTGGTGCGAGCGGTCCCCATCAGATGCCAAAGTTTCAGAACTTGCCTTTATATCTGATTCAATGCGGATCGCAAGTTCGTCTGCTTCTATTGCAGGGGTGGTTGTGACGTCAGAACGCCGAGCTCTGATGGAAGAACAGTGGGCAGACCTCAAGGCAGCTTGCTTCGAGGTCTAGCCACCACTGATCCTTCAATCAGAGCCAATCAGAGATCGACGTTCTGACGTCATCACAACCAGGGGCGGATGCAGGAATTTCCTGAGAGGGGGGAGGGGGGGGGGGGGGGTCAGGTGTTGGGTCAGCGTACCATATGTTTAGGAACCCCTTCCCCCTCTCCCTTGTTTTACGCCCTAAATTTTACACATGTAAAAATCAAGAGGGGGGTCAGGACATCCGGACCCCCTTCCCCCTCTAAATCCGCCCCTGATCACAACCCCTGCAAAAGAAGCAGACGAACTTTCGCTCCGCATTGAATCAGATATAAAAGTTCTGAAACTTTGGCATCGGTTTCGGGCCGCTGGCGCCACGTGTGAGCGGAGATTGAACGTTTGACAAAACATATATATTATTTTTTTTAAAGCCCTATATTTTTTTTTTTTTGTGACATTTCTATATTGAAAGATGAAGTGGTGCCTTTGATAGCTTTTGGCAGTTGATCTTCGGTTTTCCTGTCAGCGAAGACACCCAAGAAATAACAGCGGAGGTAACATGTACTAACATCATCTTTTCAAATAATTTATTGTGACAATTACTGATGAGAATGTTGGGAAGATGAAGCGAGCGAAAGAAATGGTTCAGGAAGCAGAAGTGGATTTGTCTTCAATGGCTAAGGCTTTTTCAACGACGACAGGGATGATCTTGACTTTCTTCGTTGACGTCCTCGGAGCTTCGATGGCCAGCAAGCCCGTCTTGGTGTCCAAGCTTGACGTCACGGTCTTCGGGTCGACGTCCTCGGGTAGTGGCAAGCGCCTCGTGAACTCCCGCCTTACGAAAGCACCGTCCTCGTGAGTTTCTTCGTGCTTCCCGTGAACCACGACGTCCCCGTCGACGGTACGAACCGAGAGTTCTTCGGGGCGGAAGCCGCGAACGTTGCACGCAACTTCGAACTTGGTTGAGCGTTCTGCTTCTTGCTCCGAACTTCGGCGCTTCCGTTGGCAGAGCCGTCGTCTGTTGCGGTCGCACTGCTTCGAACAGTCGTCGTCGTCTTCGACCCAATCCAGCATTTTGATGGGCGACCAGAGGTGGTCGTCGCTGAGAAGGGGGCAGAGGACCATCTTGACAACCATGGCGGTCTTGTTTGCTTCGTGTAGACCAAGCGCAGAACAAGAGCAAGGTGCTGCGTGTTGAGCGCCCGCAGCAGGCGATGCTCCTTTTATATAGGCCGCGTCGTCTGCTCGAAAATGCGCGAAGCTTCGGGAACGCAGAGGCGAGCGAGCGAGCGAGCAAGCAAGCAAGCAAGCAAGCAAGCAAGCGAGTGAGCGAGCGAGAGAGCGAGAGAGAGCGAGAGCGAGCGAGAGCAACACTAGGAGGTGTTGGCGAGAGAGAGCGAGAAAGAGAGAGAGAGAGAGAGAGAGAGAGAGAGAGCGCAAAACCGATTTTGATTGGACTGAATGCTTCACGTGACATTACGTCATTTGGCACGAGATTCAAACAATATTACGTCCCATCGTGCTTCAGACATTGCAGCCCGTTTCTACTGTCACTCCCGACGGATATCACTAAACTACGTGATTTTGGGTAATTACCACGACATGATGCACATTAAAAATGCCTCTTCAATTCTTCCGAAACAACGAAAAAAAGAATCTAGTGTGGAAACTTGGCAAGGCGTCATGTCTCCATTCCATACCGAGGTAACATGTTAAGTAATTAATACAGGTCACAAAAAATAATATTGCTCATTGTGGGGTGACAGAAAGGAAACAAGCCAAATAAGTACAGAAAAAAAAAAAAAAAAAAAAAAAAAACATTTGATTTTACATTAAGTCCTTATTTACTCCGAAAGATGGCAGCACCTACCCAAACGCATGATGGGGCTCCCCAGCGGGGCTCCCCGAATAATCTCGAAAAAACACGAAAATCCTCGATCCCGTTTGGTGTCACGTGACTACAACCCTCCAATCGCAACGCTTATTTTTGTTTCTTTTGCGCGCCGCCGCGAACCTTCCAGAGTATGCCGGAGAGCAGACGGCGGCTATAAAACGAAGCGTACGTCGCGACGTCGCTGCGTAGTCATATTTCCGCTCGCTCGAGTCGAAACAATTTCAGACTTGCACCGTCAAGATGGCACTGTTCCCACTTTTGAACCAAAGCTCGGACCTGGCGAGGCGCCTCTTCGACGACGACTTCGGCTCCAGTTTCCTTGACGGAGAGCTGTTCGACCCGCCATTCTACCACCAGCGCTTCTACATCCAGCCTAGGAACCAGCAGCAGTGTCCGTACCCACAGCGACAGCGCGGACACGGACACGGACATGGACGCGGGTCCCAGGCTGTCGTGGAGAGCGACCCGAACAAGTTCGCGCTCCGGGTCGACGTCCGTCACTTCGCGCCGGAAGAGATCACCGTCAAGACTGTCGACAACTGCGTCGTAGTCCACGGCAAGCACGAGGAAAAATCGGACGAGACCGGGTCCTACGTCAAGCGCGAGTTCACGAGGCGTTACGTCCTCCCCGAAGACGTGGACCCACACACGGTGACGTCTAGTCTGTCGGCCGGAGGACTGCTGGCCGTGGAGGCACCGCGCAAGACCCCGAAGGAAGACCCCAACAAGCCGGTAGCCATCACCGTGCACCACGAGGGAGCGCCCAAAGGAGGTGCTGTCAAGAGCAAGTGAGGCGCTCTCATGTTCGTCATTTTGTGTTCACGACCCTTCCGTGCTTCCTCTGCAAGCATTCCAGTTCCTTGCGTTACTTGTAAACAGTTTCGTTGGTGTAATGTATAAATAAACAAGTTGTATGTAATCTCAAACGAGCTTTTCTTCTTTCGGCGCTTAAAATGCCCGGACCGCGGTCATTGCTTGTCGTGGTGCCCGAATGTATACTGCCGGAGTTTTTTGCGCCGCGGAAAACGCCCCTCCCGTACCCGCAGCGCGTTTTCTTTTCACTTACCGCCAGCTTCAGCCCTCAGATGACGCGAGTGGTAATTTGTAGTGATGGGACGAATCACCGGAGATTCGGATTCGGACAGATTCGGAAATTTCCGAACTTCCCGCGACGAATATTCGGCAGATTCGGAGATTCGTCCGATTCGTCGCTGGTTGAAGACGGCAGCAACGGCAGCGGCTGACGGCAGCGTGAATCTTGTCGTAAAGCTCGCGAACGCGGTCAGTTGTGTTTCTTTTTAGGTACTGTTATTGCATATAACCAGATTTTGTCTCGTTTATTTCAACGTAATGGTATGTACTGTACTGTCATTCTAAACCCTGGCACACGCCCAGATCCAGCTGAGTTGATCGGTGTGGTTGACGTAGGCCTAACCAATGCACGGTCTCGGTTTCGCGGTGATCGGTAAAATGTAGCGAAATGCTGCGTATTATACATAATGTGGCGCAATGCACAATAAATATATTCAGGCAAGGAAATGATTCGTGTCCTTCTCTAGACCTGCGTATGTCTGTACCTGTAAGGCGCGAGAGCGAGATGAATGTTGCTCGTCACAACTTCGACCGCGTACCGGCACCGGTGGCGAAGAAAAACGTACCGTCCTCGGCAGCAAGTTTTGCTTACATGAACTTTATTTAGTGAAAAAGAAACACAACACAGGGGTGTCCAACGCGGAAACAAACACTACTAAATCGGATATCATTAACCAGAAAGGTACAAATGCAGTGCGGGAGATTAACAGTACGGCGCAAGGAGTTTCAGCCTGTTTCCTGCGTTCCGATAACAACACGTCAGTGGACACACGTTGGCGATAATCGATCCGAACATACTCACTTAAGTGGTGTGTGCCAGTATAACCGTAATTATCGGCACGAAATGTGTCTGTACCGAACAGCATGCACGGCATCGATCTCTTGCGGCGATGAAAACATGCACTTGTATTTCCACGTGCTGCAAGCACGCCTATTTTGGTCACAATCCGAGACCGAAACCAATTTTCCCGCGATACCAGCCGGTACCGTTCGACAAACATCCACAATAATATAAACAAGGCGGGACATTTTATTTATTACTATGATATTATATTACAATATTATTTTGTGCGCTTTGTAGAATTTAGTGAATTTAATATTACAAAGATTGAAACACTCATCAACGTGATCCGGCCACCATGGCAACGCTCCGAATCTTTCCGAACTTTTCCGAATCGCTTGAGATTCGGCTACTCTTCCGAATCTTTCCGAATCTCCAGATTCGGCTCCGAATCTCGATTCGGATAAAGATTCGTCCCATCACTAGTAATTTGTCAGATAAAGAGCTGTGTTGGAGCGGCTTGAGGTGCTAGTGGCGCCATCTTGGAAATGCGGCTGAAAACATACGCTGCGTCTGTCTCGTCGGTAAGTTTTTCTCCGAGGCATTTAGGAGCTACTGGCAGGATAACGCAGGTGAAGCCACGTGCACGGCAGAAGTCGCCGAGCGCGTGCCGGAGGCCGGGTAGCCAAAAAGACTCCTTGTCGTTTTTATTAGGTCAGGTACTGCTTGAAAGCATGTTTCGAAGGCTGTGCGGCACACGCTAAAGGTCTGTTGGAAGTCGCTTCCCTAAACACAGCTGAAATTTTATCTTACGCCCGTAAGCCCCAACACAAACGTAACAAAAACAACTTTGGTATTTTCTTTGAGAAGCCGACATAAACATAAGGACCGTATCTCCACGTCTAAGGCCACTGATATTGCAGGAACTAAAAGGGCTCGAATCGTCTTTTTTATCATATCTTTTTATGCTAAGTACTAATGCCCCTGGGCCTGGTCCAGTCCTTTGTGCATACTCGTTTAGAGAAGACACGTTTCATGGGCACACATTGCGTGGACGCTGGTGTTTCGTGGAAACTCGCTCGTTAAGACTGGCGTTGGGGTGTTTAGGGATTGAGGATTGCAGCATGGTTATTAAAATTCCTTTAATCTGCCACTTTCGATACACCAATGTTGACTACCGGGTATAGTGCATTTCGCTAAATCAAGAACACTACAGAGACATACTCATAAAACGTTTCGTCGAAAACATTTATTTTTCATTTTTTTTTTTTTTACAATGGGCACAATAAAATTTGGAAGCCGACCTTATGCTGTACCGCAGCGAAGGCTAGAAGCACGAGCTCATAGTGTTGTGACCTAGAGCAAGGAGCTCGTACTTGTAGCCTGTCCTGCAGTGGTACAACATAAGGTGAAATAGAGTATAATGTCTAGCGCGTGAATCACCCAGGCATGCTTGTTTCTTTTCCCCTGTAAGCCAGGCGAAACGCCAAAAGTTTGTGGCAAGAACAGCAGGGTTGTGTTCAACGAAACGTCTCTAGGCGTGTCGAAACAAACAACGATGAAATTAACTGTGGATGAAAGGTAGCATGTTGAGGAAACAATCTGGCCACCAATGTCCCTGTCCATTCTGGAAAACAATTGATGCATTCTTACAAGTCTTTTATAAAGGTTCGGAGTTTGCTGCACATCAACCGCTCCTTCAAGTTCTGGAATCCGGTCGTTTAAATGGCATCCAGTCTGACTAACGCACGAAAACCCGCATGCCATGGGAAAATGTATGCATCACGGCCTCGTGACACCCAGTTACCACATCTCTGTGGTATTAACCAGCCTGCTAACTCAAAAATAGAAACTCTATAAACTGATAAAGAAGTTGAACAAAAATAGCTGCCTACCACCAAAAAAAAAAAAAAAAAAATACACTACACAATTTTAAACCAACTCTTATTCAATGGTTTCTTTTGCCAAAGTCTCCAAATCATGTAAAAATGCATAAAAAAAGGGAAAACTTTAGGCACACCTGTTTATTGGACGTTTTGCGCTCCATCACGCTGTTTCCAAAGCTAAATTATGTATTTCGCCTCGTGCTCTGCCGATCACCCAAGCAATACTTTGACGTAGCCAGCTTAGACATTTAAAGATGCATTCTCGTGGAGATGATCACAACAAGACTTGTTTAAAAGTGTTTTTCGTTAGGTACCATGCCACTCCTCGCTTCACTGCCTTTGGATGGCAGCTGAGAGAGAGAAAACAGGTTAATGTGCATCTTTGCCTACAGACCTAGAAACTGAAGACTTCCAGTTGTACAAATCTCGGATGCAAAAAACCATTCTAAAGCTTTCTTTTTTTGTAAAATAAATTAATTTGTTTAGATTGGGTCCTTGAAATACACAAACAAAAAAATAGTCCACATAAAGCTCGATTATTACCCTGAAATACACAAACAAAAAAATTGTCCACATAGAGCCCGATTATTACGCTATTTGCCAACATGAAATGCGCCCTCGTGTGCACAGTTCGGTCTAGAACACCAAAATCAATCCTGGAAAGTATTCGTGCTAAAGAGGAACCAATACACACTCGTCGCTTTTGCGCAAGAACACCTTGACCGCGGTTCAAGTTTAGGCAAGGCAACAGCTTCGAATCTCGCTAAACTCTTTTCTATACTTTGCGGCAAGACAAGATCCTCCCATGAAACCTTTTCCACTTTAGCAGAGCAACCACTGGAGAGGAAGAAATCACCAATCATGGTGAGCGGAGAGCTTTGTGGGAGGGTCTTGTCCTAGTTTTCTGAACCTGCAACAAACTATATCAACTCTCACATTTTGAGGAGGAGCAAACGTTTCTAGGGAATAATCACTGATCAGTAGGAATAATACCTATCCCTGTTATCCGAGGAAAAAGCTACACGGTTTTGAATGGAACAGATCCATTTACCCAATCAAGTTGTCCGAATTCCTGAGTGACAACCCACTGCCAGCCAGTGGGGCTTGAAGTCAAGATTGCAGGAAATCCGACAGGACACGCTGCCAGATCTCATCCTCATTAACAGCAGTGCTGAGTGGAGATTCCAGTTAGTGACCTTTTACTTTACGACAGATGCTGACCCCTGTCAGACGAACACCTAAAATGTCATTAATGCTAGAAGCCTTTAGGACTTTCAATTGACATTCAAGTTGAACCGTGCCAGGCAACAGCTGTAAATGTGGTAAATATCATTTAGCTGATGCTTTTTGCTTATTGCGGTCGCAAAGTCTCTTCAAGCACACAGAGCGCATTTGCGTTAAAGAACAATGTTATCTCGGGAAAATGCCATCGTTGTGTCCTCTAATACTAGGCAAGTAAAATATATATAAACATACCAGAACAGAAAGTTGTGTGGAGTGATTGAGTTTGTTTCACACCCATTGGCATTGTGCGAGTTTTGTCCCAAAATGCATCATACTTGCGGTGTGCCGCACAGAAATCTGACCGGTCTCCATTCCCAAACAAACTTGCCAAGTGCAGTGTGATGCTGTTGCCATCAGCATCATACAGAAGCACCCTGGAAATCTTCAGTTTCTAGATCTGAAGGTTTTTCAAGTTCAAAACTCATGTTCGAGCAATGGCAAAAATGTGCGCAAGGCTGTTTTGTCCTGCCACAGCTGCCATCATGAGAGTGCGCCTTTTCAAATGTCCAGGTTGGCTGCTTCAAGGTATTGCTCGAAGAAAGAGTGTGGTGGAGCGCAAAAAGTCTGATAAGTGGGCGTGTTTACCATTTTTTCATGAGCAGGGTTGGCCAAAAAAAAAAAAAAGAAGTGTCAAGAGGTGTACGAAATTTCTATGGTATGCGGGTTTTCGTTCCTTAGTCAGACTGGATGCTGTTTTAAGGACTGGATCCTAGAGCACAAAAGAGTGGTTAATTTGTGTGTGGCAAATCGTAAAACGGAAAATTGTAATAATTGTTGTTCAGGTTGAATAGGGACACTGGTGCTTAGCATAGAAAGACGTCACTTGAAGAGAATGATAAAGTATGATTCACCAGTTCCGGCCGTTGTATCAGTCTACCCTCAGGGACCTTGCACACAAAGATACGCTCTCTCTCTTATCTGTCTGCTTACTTGGACTTCTCAGGTGGAGGTACGGTAGTGAGGTCTTCCTCTTTTGTTGGTTGGACTGTTCCAACCTGCTGATTGCGGGGGTGACGGGTGTAAGTTCTGACGATGTGGGGTGGTCCGCTGAATATGACCAGGCAGACATAGAAATAAAATTTCAGCTGTGTTTCAAGATGGAGTTTGTTCCATTTTTTTTCTTCTTGTCTTATGTTTTTTCAACATGGCTGTGCAAAATATAGTAATTTTACCCTCCGACAGAAAAAAAAGAGGAAATTTTATCGATTGGCATTTTTGTCAGTTTTATACAAATTCTGGCAGAAGATGAATAAAAACTGTGTGTTGCCTTGAAACATGTACTTCGTGTGAAGCACAAATGTTTCGGTAACTGGAATCGCTCGGCCTTGTCGTCTCAGATGCCGTTTATCTAACGGTCAAATGACGAAAACAATGCAGACATGACCTCCAGACCTTTTGAACAACACCAACGCTGTCTGACAATTATACTGCCCGTCTGAAAATGAATCACCCTAGCGTCCCGAGTTATCACACAGGTAAAAAACGAAAAGCTTGAAATTAATCTTCCTGTGTCCTAAACCATTTCCTGCAAGGAAACTGCCTGTAGCAAAGAAACAGTCTGCAATAAAACATAACCTTCAAAAAGACAGCCAGCAAAAAAAACAAAGACAAAAAAAACAAACACAGCCTGCAAGAAAACCCAGTTTGTAAGAAAACACAGTCAGCTAGGGAAGTGAAGTGTGAAAGATTTCAGTTAAAACAAAGTTAACTTGCATTTTTGGAGAATTGATTTGCTATGCTGCAGTTTAACGTGCACAAGTACCGTAAAATACCAGGGGAGCGCCGACCCTACTTTCACTGAAAACTGGGTTAATCTAGACACAAAGGCTTGTTTGGCGAAATTGGGTGCCTAAAGTACAATTTGCAGAACTCTCAAGTTAGTGCAATGTTAATATAGTGGGCACCTGAACGAAATGGGCGCTTCCGCAATATTTTACAGTAATCACACCTGTTTTCAGTGGTTAAGCTACGGTTGTGGAGTTTGGGGGGGTGCTAAAATCCCCGGGGGATTTCAACACCCTCCCCACACTTTGCAACTCTGAAAAGACACCTTAGCTCTGCCACTGCTTGTGCTGACTGACCACTTAGGTTGGGCAAGAAGCACTACCCCAGTCAGCCCGAAAGCAGAAAAACAACTTTATTTTTATTTTAAAGACTAAATTGCCAACCAGATAAAACAATCAATGCCACTCTAGAATGCCAGGGTCAGCAAGGGATGGTGGCCAAGAAACGCACAATGTATCACGGGGCGGGGGGGCAACGACACCATGGCGGCGAATTCCACACTAAACATTTTGACAGAGTGTGACAGGTGCAGTATACGGCTTTTCCAAAGCGCAGAAACGAAAATGCCGGGATCGCTACTGCCGTGGTTCGGGACCTTGCAGGCTTCCCCATTTGGCGGTTTATAAAAATAGCGCCTGTGCGGTTACCTGGTGAGGTGTGCTTGTATCCTACGGTCGCTGTTGAACCTACGTTTTCACAACCAAACGCCTAAAAACGGAGCGCGTCCACAGGGTCCACCACGCTCCAACAAGCGTGTAGCCGCGGCTCGCAGACCTTGGTTTTTTTCCCTAATACAGCAACTGCCAACATGCTGCGATCAAGCAAAGCGTCGTCAACGTTTCGACATATTCGCAACGTCAGATTGCGTCTCAGGACTTCCCGTACGCACCATTGGTCACATTCTGTTTCGCTTAACACGTTTTTGCTCCCATAAAAGCTCCGCGAAGCGCAGGTGGTATTTGTAAACGTGCCGGCATCTTTGCAACATTGCAAGACAGTTTTGACATTTTGTCACGTGTGCAACACTGCCTCACGTTTCGACAACAAGTTTGCAAATCCAAGGCAGGTCCACATTGTTTTGCGGACAACTTTCCATCGACATGCGCCTCGTCGAGACTGACGTTTCGTAGACACACGCTCTTGTGATGTTTTGTCGATGGCATATTTGTTTTACCAAGTGGATTGGATTGGGATACTAGCTTCGTTTCATTTGCTGTAAGCTTACTGGAACCGAAGCAAACTTGCACAGGTTATACCCTATTAGGGCAAAAACGAATTCGCGAGCCCTAACCCTAAGCTTCCCTACAGATTGTGCTATGTGTGGTCACCCAATCAGTGCACAGGAGTACGACGCCGAGCGCCGATTGGCTTTGCTTTAAAGGATAGTGGGTATACCTCAATGCTAGATGCCTTGAGGCCTACCCATTATTTTTTTCAATCAGGAAATAAGAGCTCGGCGTTCTGACACCAACGCAACCTTTGCGCAAGAAGCAGACAAACCCGTGCTCCGCATAATCTAAGGCCCGAGCTTGCACCAGGCCCGATTGGAACCACCAAGGATTCGGCAAGCTAGGCTACCATCTGGATGCCAGGAATCGAGGCAATGTGTGCAGGAAAATGCTTTTGATGACACAATACAAATATCTCGACAAAACAAACACCTTTCAATGAAGCGAACTGTCGATGAAACGTTGCAGTGTCGACGAAGCATCGTTTGACAAACCGATTGCCACCGCTTAAGATAGCATGCCTCAAGATCTGGTGTTTTGTCTGGTGTCTCGCAGCCTTACACAAGCTTTCTGATATGTGGACACTCCGCACAGGTACACACAACTTCACGAGACTGGGATGATCGTAGAATTCTCAACTATACTTACGCGACCCCATAAACTACAAAGCGACGGCACGGGGATCGCTCCGAGTCCGTGCTCAGCGCAGCGACCAAGCTACGCTGCCGTTTGGTTTTTTTTTGTAACCACAAAGCTATAATCTTGAGCCACGTCCGTGGACTCCTTGGAAAAACCGATAGAAAGAACAAACAAAGCTTGAAAGCGTTCCACATTGAGCCTTCAAAGTGCAGTTAACAGTATTTGCTTATAAAGTGCACACACTGTACATATGTACAAGTTAAAAAGATCATGCTATGCCACAAAGCTAGTCTTTCGCAACACGACGCCTCTCGAAACGCGAATGAAACATATATTCTGCACCGTCCAATGAATATCTACGACTTGTGCTATCAGCAATCGCACCGCCGTCGTAGCGTACGACGGGATAAAAATAACGGAAACATCCGGCAGAAAAGAACCGACCTGCAGCAATAGGCCGACGGGTGTAAAAACATGGCGTAAAAACAGGCGAGCGTTGGACAACTTTCAACGAACATATACGCGTTTTGCTGCAGGTCTAAATAAATAAATAAATAAAGGGGAAACAAGCGCACGGGTATGGCTTGGCAGGAGTCAGGCAACACCACGTTTGTCAGCTATGCAATGTTGGTCAATGCGACCTACGCAAATTGCACTCGTGCAATCGGTACCTACAAGCTAGTCTTCGTCAGAATCTTTTTTTTCAAAGAGGAAAAAAAGGTGGTCGCCCTCTTTGCAGCACGAAGCGTTTTGACAACTGTGACTTGAAAAAGGTTGACGGTCGAGATCTGCGTGCGAGTATGTTCGATGGAAGGGGAACTGTGCTTTGCTACAACAAGCACGCACACGGTCTAAGTGCAGGGAAATTCGAGAGCTTCTTGGGGACGAGTGGAAAGTGATAATGAAGGTGCAGTAAGTCATGAAGCTGGGGCCGCTAAAGCAAGAACTCCGCACTATTCAAAATGACCATGTGCTAGTTTTTTCTTAAATTTTCTACAAATTGTTTACATCTGCCAGTTATCCAACAACAAAGCTACAGCGTAGAAAGTCTTGGCTCGAGAATCAAATTTGTGGCCAAGTTGTCGACCAACAGCTGCTGGGGCGGGGGGGCTCAGCGTGTATGCACGTTGGCAAAAGATAACTGCTTTTTTTGCGATAGCGAGACAGAAGAAGGGTGCGCAAAGAGGTGACAAGTGCTTAGCTCAAGTCCCATAGCGGGATCAGTGGACACAATCACGGCGCTAAGAATTCCATGAAACCTGGAGTGACTACAAAAGACGGCATTGGCATCCGGCAAAACCGCATCCTTCATCTCCAAACATCTCAGTGCTCTCTTTCTAGCGAAAAAAAACCCCCATGTCATCCAACATTCGGCGATTAAAACGAGAGCAGCAACAACAAGCATGGCGGCACTGACCAGAATTGAAGCCGCCAAACAGTCCCACTTGGAGCCAACGCGAAGACAGGAGTATCCCCTTGGTAAAAGCCGGTAAAGGCGAGAAATCAGTCGTCTGTTAACATTCCAACACGAGGAGAAAGTGTTGCAGCGCGTCGGAAGGTTTCGTCACGAGCGCACGTAGAGCGACCAGCACCACCACTTTGACGATGTGCAGCAGCTTTCCTCCTCCTCGGGCTGCGTTGAAGATAAGTTTCACAAGACCGACGTGGCGCGTCGTCACTGAAGACCCCACGATCTCGCGTCGGTCTAGAGCCTCTCCGTCGGTAGGCCGTCCTCACACCTCCTGGAGGTACTTGAGGGGGCAGGGTAGGGCCTTGTCGCCAAGGCCGGTACGAACGAGCACTTTGCCTTCCATTTCGTCGCCGACTTGGATGACAATCTGCAAAGGGAACGTCGCTGGCTAAGCCATCGCCAAGAAACTGGCGTTGCTGTTCTCGTTCGTTTCGGGGTAGGTCGCTTGTTTTACTACATCTGGGTTAGTTGGGGAATCAATAGGAGATTTGTATATGACCTGTCTGTCTAATGCCTGTATGGCACACTTGAATATCCAAATCGCCACTCTTTTTGTACAAATGGCTGTTTCACTGGAGTCCTAATACGAGGTGCCATACTTTATTTTCCACTGCAGAAACGTCCACATATCAAATAAGAGTTAATCACTCGGAGGTGGCAAACAAAAATACATAACGTTTAAAAAAAAAGATTGGTTGTGGGTATGTTTATACAGCCTTGAAGTTAGTCTCCCATCAACGAGCAACTTGTCTCTCAGCTGTAGATGAGCAATTTAGCCAGCGCAGTACAACCGCTAGCCCGGGGTCTTTAATGCGCACCATGCAGTAGCGATACATGACTGCATGCCGGTACGATGCTCATCCAGATTGAAGTGAGCAGGAGTGAAGATTGAACCTAGGATCCCAAATTCTGCAGTGCGAGCTTTCGCTTTACGTGCTCTAAACTGGTGTGCGCTAGACTATTCATCCACTGATCCCCTTAAAGGGGTTATGACACGCCAAAAATAAATTATGAGATAACAATACTGCTAAAACCCACAGTATGTTCCTATAATCCTGATAAATTTGTATTGAAAATGGCGCGATAGTTTTGTGGATAAATCGATTTATGTGCGGATCCCTCGGAGGGGCCGGCCGGGTGGAGCTGAAGGCTGGTGACGTAGCCAGCCTCCAGCGCGGCGTTTCCTTGCACGCACTCACAGACTTGGCTCTCTTGGCTTCTCGAGCTTCAGTTTCCTCGTTTACCTTCCGCGTTTCGAGCATGCGGTCCGTGACGATTACGTCTACGGCATCGCTCGCCTTGTCAAAGTGTTCGACAATGATCGCAGCAGCGATGAGAGTGATTGTTATCAACAGATGTTGGAAGCTGTTCATTTTGACTGCGACCCGCTGGCGACCAGCCACAGCGACGGCGAGTTGCAGACGGGCTCGCCGTGGTCACCGTCGTCTAGGAATATCTCGCAGGTGCATGCAGGGTGGAAGGTCAACAGGCTGGGGGCGAGATCAAGAATAGCTTCCAGGTTACCGAAAAAGGGGTTTGAGCGGTTTTGATCGTATCGCGGCGAGGAGAGCTCGGGCCATCATGGGGGCGCCTAGAATGAAAGAGCGTTCATGGTCACGTGGTTTATGGACACCATGGCGTGACTAGCTGGGGCAGTGTTGCCTGGTCGCCAGATGAAAATGATAAAAATTCGTAAATTGATTATTGCAATTACTATAGCTCTAAAAATCGTGTAACTTGGTGTATACACTAAGTAGCCTATGAGCATTCCATTTCAAGAATAATCTATCCGTTTAATTTTCGTGTCATAACCCCTTTAAAGGGGTACCCGCCGATTTTTGAGCTACCTCAACAAACTATATGTTCTGACTCCCCGGCCTTTACCCTTTCTGGTATGCTATTTAGTATCGTGAAATTCATAATAGTTATTGCGAAATCGACAAATGAAAATGATGCAAAAACAAACATTCAAATATACCCGCCCTTTTCAGGGCCGTGACGTCAGTGGAAGGTTAAGCTTGCCAGTCGGGCGAGCAGTCTTAAAAATAGAATATGCCAATCATTCGTTCCGTGCTGGAGCGCGGGGACTGGAGCGAGCTTCCAAAGCATTCATTTGACACCATGAAACTGTTTCGAATCAGTTGGGAACAAATTCTACAGTCTAAAGAGTGAACCCCAGCACTTCCACTGATGTCACTTTTTCATTGTTGCCAGTAGAGACTTTCAGTTTGAAAAACACGGTGAGGACCAAAATTGCAAATTCAATAACTTTGCGAAAAAAAATTATTTTGACCCAATATTTGGGATACTATTTTGGCGATGTTGTTTGGCGAGTTTAGCAAAATTTCAAGCAAATCGGGGACCATGAAGAAATCGGCGGAGTACCCCTTTAAGTTTTTCAGGCTCTACATTGCCTGTATCGTCTAAGCTGGCCTGGCAGCAGCTTCGGGAATTGAAGCCCAATTTGTCGCATGAATGTTTAGACGGCAGAAAGTTTGTCTGCCTTGTCTGACGGCTGCACTGCAGACGAGCAATTTGGCCCGTTTACGAACGACTGCTAAGCTAGTGATCACACAGATGCACGCAGACGTACGACGTCGACCAAGATTGAAACGGACAGGGCTGAGGATCCGAGGTTAGGATCCCAGCGTTCCGTGAGACAAGCGTTCGCTCCACGTGCTTTGAGCTGCACCGTGCCCCTTAGGGAGGCCCTTACTCTGTGTGCTCATAGGAGGGGATGGTACACGTGGCTGAGCGAACCAGCTCACCTGGTCCCTTAGCAGCTTGACTGGTTCATGGCCGTCCAGCACTTGAATGGAGTGGACGACCTGGAGTGCCCGCTCCCCAGAGTGCAGCTTGGCCACATACTTGGAAGGGAAGAAACCTGACCGGCCCATGCACTTGCCCTGCACGCACGACAAAGAGAAAAAATAAATCGCCTTGATCCTGCATAAAGCCAGAATTCTGCAGAATGCGAGTGGATGTTATAGCGCAAGACGTGATATTTTCCCGTTAAATTTAATGGACGGTGGTTCCGTGACACCAACCCCGTGATCATATGTCGTGTGACGTCGCAGTACACTGTGATGTCACGGTGTCACGCGATGTCGGATGATGTCAAGTGACACTGACGAGACGCCGTCATGTGACGGCACGACTTTTCGACATCACATTGTCATGTGGCACCGTGACATCATGTCACATTCCCACATAATTCCTGTAGTGGCACCAACTACGAGACGACGTGTCCCATAGGGGCATCGACCACGTAACCGTCACAAGCCCGTGTAATCACGTTTTCGATGCAACTTTTTGGGAAGCTCTTGAAACCGGCCCATAAAGCATTCTACGTTACAAATGTGCCCAACTTTGCAACTGCAATTACATGGCACCTCATACCGCTTCCCAGGTTTGGCTCGTACTCATGCAAAGTCCTAGAACTCGGGCATCGTTGCCACTGCCAAAAGATTGGGCCGAGGCGAGTGAAAGCCTACGTTTCGAAACTGACTTTGCAAAATTTTGCATCACATTCTTCACCCTACTGAGCCGACGTCTGGCGTTGTGGGCCGATGACGTAATGGTGTTTCTCGAATATGAAGCAAATGCGGTTTTGAGGGAGGTTTGTTGTCGTGCAGTTTGCGTTGCACAATGTGTGGCTCGCAATTGAAAGGTTAAACGTCTTCCCTTCAGGCCTGGTCCCGACGCCCGAGCGAAAGGGAAATAAGAGGCTGACAATTGGTTGCAGGCTCACCAACCAATTTGGTAAGCCATTACAATCTGTCGGTTAGAAGGCCCGTTAACGAATGGACTGATTAGCATGACACAGCTGCCTGTTTTTGTCCTTTTTTGTTGCTTCCTGCCGATTAGCATGACTGCTCATCAGCATCACACAGCAATCCTATCCTTGTCCTTTGTGTTGCTTTCCAGTTTATTCTTGCAACATTACCAGCATGCCGTAGTCTGTCAAAACCCTGTACTCTGTTTTGGCTTAAATTGCACCTTTTGGGATCTGATGCTTTAAAGGGCAACTCTGCTTCATTTTCTTTGTTGTAAAAACAATGCAGTCTTCCTCAGTATCACATAGGAAGACCAGACATCAAATATTATGACATAGTTCTGTCTAAATGTTTCATGAAACGGTCCGGCAAACTTTGCTGCCCGCCAAGTTGTCGGAATCGGCTGACTCGAGCGGGTGAATTGAGGTGCAACCAACAGTGCAGTCAAGGCTACAGGGTGGGCATAGCCAACATTGAGCGAAACGTCATCACCATATCCCCCTTTTTGCTTGTTTTACAGCGAAGCTGTATACCTCTACCAGCCAAGGAAATTTTCGTGTCGTTGGCGTTGAAAGCAAAAAAACTCCCGGCAAACAATTGAAGGCAAAACAGCATATCTCCTTTGAAATCAAGCAAACAGCATAAAAGCTCAGTATCTGTTTCAATAAAGAAAACCACAAAACAAGCATAAAAACCACGTGATGGATAAGGTGCGTGTGAACAATAGGAAGACCCGCCCACGCGTTCCGGTAAAGATTAGGTTTGCAGCTGCCTTGAAAGGGTTGACGTCATTCCAAGCCCTTGTATGAAGTGTAAACCGCATAATGGATAATAACGGCGCCTGCAAACAATGCAAAGCATGTTCATTCTCCCCGCGTGTGTTTCCTGGTAAAGATTACGGATGCGTAAGCAACTCCAAATGGAAAAGTACCCAACAGCATAGAAATCACGTAGTGACATCACCACGCTTTCATATATAACACGTGCTTCACCAACGCAACTCAACCAACCACCACTCTTGGATCATACATTGATTTAACCTGCCCCAAGCCCACCTTTTGTTGCGCAAAGGATCACGTGACATCTCATACCACGTGATAGCCATGTTCTTGGTAGCCCGAGACCAATGTTGCCGGATGGAGCTGAACTTTCGGTTTCGACTTCTGCTCGTATTAAAGATTAGATTTAACAATATATATATACCATTTTTTGCAAAGCAAATGACGTAGTTTCTTTTTCTAGTGCTTTTTCATGCGAACTCACTTATTATCCCGAAATCTTCGGAATGGAGTAAAGTTGCCCTTTAAAGAAGAACTCTGCCGATATTTTAAGCTACCTAATCCAAAGGCATCATCTGGAGGCGGATGACTTCCTGATTCCGAAATGCTATATTGTTTTCCCAGATTCACTCAAGTTAATTAAGAAAGTGATATTTTGTTCGCTGCCAAAACTGAAACATTGTTCTCCCCAGCTTTTTCCCAGTTTTCCCCGCCATTCAAACGTAACGTCACCGGCGGGCAGCAAGGCGCGCGGCCGGCAATCGGGTATGCTTGCGCCCGCCTTTCTCGCGGCGAACAGCGAGAAAACAGGGGCATTCGTGCTATCTGAAGTTGACAATAATCTCGAGTTGCACAAAGTATGACCTTAGCCTATGTGCTATATAAAAAAAAAAAAAAAATGGATGCAATTAGGATTTTGAGAAAATTGCTTTTACAACTCGGTACGTTCAAGGCGTGGCTTGCTAGCTTCGTGAAATCGCAAGCAATTCCGTTCTAATGCTATCAGAACCTAGTAGTTACACTGGCGAAGAAAGGTCAAAGAGTCACACAATACATTTGTTAACAAATTACCCAAGCACCACGGATAATGCTCGGAATGTGGGTACAGGTGGGCCACACGCTCGTCTTACCAGAAGTAACACGCCATTTGTTTTAGATTTTCTTTAGAAAAACGACTATTGCATATGCCAGCACGTGTAACTACTTTTGTAGCATGCATATTGTCCTTGGTGCTTGAGTAATTCAGGAAAATATCTGTGTACCACTCCAGAAGAGCGCTTCTGGTCGGTGCCATTTTCAACGTACGTGTTTGTGGCGCCAACTTTACTCACCTCCCCTAACAGATGTAGGCTGCGATAGTCGTAAACATTTAAATGGATAAAAAGAAAAGAACTGCATTCATGGAGGCCAGATGGCAGGTTACTGTTCATGAAGGTCGTGCTAAAATTAAAAAAATAAAAGAACTCCGCAACTACCAAGCCAAACATCCAGGTGCAATGAAAGGCGTATAAAATACACAGGTACACTATTCAATTTCATACAAAAAATATTTGCTTGAATATAATAATATTTGCTTTCTGTACTTCATGCAATAGTGCACAAAGTGCAGAAATGCACCATAAAATTATTAATTAAAAATAATTTAACAACAGTTACCCCGAAAAAAATTTGTACATAATTTCTATTTTTTTTTTTTTTTTACTCTCAGTGTAGAATACATAGCGCTTAAACACTCATCGTCAAGTGCATAGAAAGGGTAAAAACGGGTGTTTCTATACAAGATTTATTTTTTGATAAAGTTTTGGTTTTGCACAGCCTCCATCACCTGTATATTTACGTGCCTTCCGTCAACGACATGAATATTTTCATGATTTTGAAAACTTTTCAGCCCTATATAACAATTCGCCACAATAAATAAATAAAGACGAATTCGCCACCTCTTCTGTGAGAGAATATTGCACGCCAACCATTTGACAAATGCAACGGCTATATTGTATATTAATGAAGCTCAATATCTGCTCCCTAAACCTCAGTAACACCAGACACGAATAGCACTGTGTCGAAAGCCATGTCTAAGCTCAGACTTGAACTTATTTTAGATGTTTCACTTCTCGTCTCCAACAGATCGGCCACGTGAGGGGAACTCCGACAGTAGTCTGAGCTAGATTCGATGCCCGAAACAAATATAGTGCTTATAAAAATTTAAAAAAAAAATCACTGAAACAATTGCGAACAACCAATGTGACTGCGAGAAATGTCGACTATAGTGCTATAATGTACACTCTTTTTCTCGATATTATTAGCGCTCCTCTTTGGACGGGTGTCCAAGTGGTCACAGCCGGCATATGCCTGCGCTTGCCACTCTTGAAGCCGTCCCTGCTACAGAAGGATACTCAACTCGCAGCATGCGGCTATAAAGTAATGCGAGCTTAAACGAGAATGTTTCATGTGACGCTACATCTCTCGGCACACAGCTTGCGCACAAGCATCTTGACCTGGCTGGCCTCCATTGCAGCCGAGAAACACATTTGTTTCTCCCAAGATAACAAAAAAAAAAGAAAAAAAAGAAAGCTTTTACCACCACTGTTACAACCTACCGCGAAGCACAGATTGCTACCCATTGCAAAGGAACTTTCAACCTTGAAGCTGTAAAAACATAATCCCGATCGCTGGCGTACGAAAGCCGTTTAGTGGCTGCCAGGTTGCTTGTCCATCTACCCGCTGGTGACGTACACGAGTAGAGAAAAGCAGGGATTTTTCATTGTTGCCAGTAAAGAGTCTCCTCCCGGAACACTGGAGGCCAGCGTAAATCGAATAATCAATAACTTCATGAAAAATTTTAATTTTTATAATATATTTTGGCTATCAGTTGAGAAAGGGTTACTGATGCGGTCTGACAACTTTCAGCTAAATCGAAGACTCGAAAAATCGGCGGAGTTCTCAGGACGCGACCTGGGAATGTCAACTTTTGAACTGCTCACTCAATCGGCGTGATATTTGCAGGTGGTGTTTACAGGCATATAGGAGGCGAGTATGCAAAATTTCAGCCCTGTGTACCAGTCATATGGGGTACTATACCCCCAGAACGAAGTAAAGCATAGCTTTGCATGAAATCTGCTCAATGAATCTATCGTTGAGAAATGGTGTCGATAACCACATATTTTCCTGGTGGAATGCATACTGGAATACCTGTTGCCGGTTGCTATACAAAGAAATTTAAGAAAATATGCATTTTTCAGGTAAAACAAAAAATTGTGAAAAAAATGTACGTTCTTAGATTTACCATGTTTTGCAAATGACAATTTCTCATAATAAAGTAAAATGAAAATGCAAAATCTAAGTTTATAGTAACCGGATCCATAAAGCTTCGGCATATAAGCCACAAATATTAAGTTTTGATAGTTTCATACTGAAACAATAGTTTTGTTAAGGTGGGATTTATGCCAAAAAAAAAAAGGATTGGAGAAAAACACATTCGAAGTGCACGAACCTCTACCTTTTCTTTACCATTGGTGAACTGCAAATAATTGATAAAAGAATAACTATACACTGTAAATAAATGAAACTTTCTGGGAATATACTCTCTAGATGTTGGCAGATGTAAATAGGGCATTTTTCAAAATCATCTTTTTTTGCAGAAGTGTTTTTTTGTCTAAGTAGTGTCTTCCCTTACAATTTGGAACGGTACTCTTTCACCTCTCTTTTCCCTCGTCTAACGCTGACGCACATTCAGCAGATGTTTATCAGACTCTACGAGCCACTCAAACAAGGAGTTGTCTTAAAGGGGCTGTGCAACAATATTGGGTAGGAACGTCTTTCACTTCACATAATCTTACTGGCACTAGTGGGACCCAAGAATACTCGAACGCAACACCACTGACCAAGAAGCGCCTTCGTCGCGGTGGGATTTGAAGGATAAAAGCGGAGCTTTTCTTTCAGTCTCTCCTTCGCGAAATTTGATGATGGAGCTGTGGGGACAATGCCAAAAATGCGATCCCCAGGCGTGCGTCATCAAGTTATGCGATCCCCGCTGTGATGATATTTAAATGCTGCTCATACAGTGGGCATGAAGATTGCGTTAGGCATTCAATTTTGGCTCGTGACAATCAATGTCTCGACATGCATTCAGGTGGTGGCTCTTGCCCAATTGCTGGGAGGACGGGACCAGCCGAACCTTAACAATGTTTAGAGCTCAGTGCGCGCCCTGTGCTGTGCCAACCCTAGCGATGGCTATGTTAAAAATATTGGTGGCATATAATCGGCTCCGGATCACGTGGTTGCTTTTTCTGGCGGCGGGGGTAAATGGTGTCCGTTTTTCTCGTATTTACTCCGCGACTGCCACTGCGTAGAGATAAAAAGTAGCCCGAGTTTCTTAGGTAATAAATATCCGAGAATAATCCTAAGCTGTACTATTAAAGTAGAAAATTTGTTGCATCGCCCCTTTAATCTTATCTTGAAGCAACAGGGGTCTGGGCACGGGGCTTACCTGCCACCAGTCTGGATCGGTGGTGTCAATCACAGTCACTGTGTCACCAGCCCTGCAACAGAAAGTGCCACAAATATTCGATGCAATTGTCGAAAGGCACTCAACTGCCTGGGGGGTATGCTTTCTCCAGGGGCGCACACGCACTGTGGGCAAATGGCAGACAGGAGGCAGGCCAATGGGCGCTCCCTTTGTTTCACACAATGTGTCACAGTTGGCACTAACGTGACATTGGCCCCACTTGGCTGTTTGGTCAGAAGGGGTTTCTTATTGCTCAAGTTGGTACGTACACCCAATAAACACATTTCATAGCGTTAGTAGTTTTGCCAACATCTTTCCAGCTTGCGATAAAAATACGGAACAAACTAGGCAATCGCTTGTTCATACTAACAGTGCCAGGCTCATTACACCAATAATTAAATTAAAAAAATTACATGTCATGGATATCAGAATTTAGAAAATTAAGAATGTCCTGATACATAGGACAAACTTGGGGACACATAGAATCTGCTGCGAACGAGCTGGGCACATGCTGTGTGCATGTGTAATGTCACGTGATCTCATGATGCCGCACAATGTCAGGTCATGGTAGTCATGTGATGTCACAGTCATGCGACTTAATGGGGTCACATGACCTGTGTGTCAGTCAAGTGTGTAATTTTTCTAATGAAACCCACCCCATAACAGACTCTGTATTATTTCTTTTTATAAACTTCAAGCGCAAGTCAGGGGCACGGCTGTTAGACAAATGCAAACATCACGTAAAGACATGCAACAGCCATCTAACGTAAACTGGGGACAGACGGCTCACTTGAGATCGAGTTCGTCTTGGTGGCGGCTTCGGAAGTTGTACAGGACCACATAGAGGTTGGTCGGAAGGAGGCGGTGCGGTTTCTGGAAAAACACAGCGCTAGGTCTATAGTCAGAGTCAGGTTGAGAGTTCAGGGGAAATTCCTTCCATCCTTTCCACCTCAGCAGAGTAAACGCTGAAGAAAAGATTGCCTCCTCTCCAGTGGTCGCTCTGCCGAAGTGGAAAGGGGTGGGAGGAGCTTCCCCTGAGCTCTTGGTCTGTCGCCGACTATTATACGATGCAACCTGGTTTTTCCATCAACGGCGTGCAGACGGAAATTACTCACAGGCGAGGGGCAGGGGGAAGTGGACGCGCTGCTGAGAGACTTCTCGTTATCGTCGGGAAGGTCCACCGAGCTCATGCGCACTGCCTTGGTGCTCAGCAGTTGCCTCCGCCCATGCACGGGGCTTTGGGGCGCTGCATGGAGGCAGCGGAGACCGAGACGCATGTTACACACGCGGTGACACTTTCTCGGTGCGAGCTCTGCTTTGTTAAATGGCAAAAATAGGTGAGCTTCGCTCTTACAAGCTGCTTATGCCTCATGGCAAAAACGAATGAGCATCGCTCTCGTTATATATGTGCTTATGCCTCGATGAGCAGCGTAAATGGACAAGTGCCACTCTCGTGATATCCTTATACCTCGTTGAACAGCAAAAATGGACAAGTGTTGATCTCGCAGTTCTTCGCTTTGTTAGACAGAAAAGAATAGACGAGCATTGCTCTTGAAATGCCCCTATGCCGAGCACTACTGGTACTACATTCGAAACTGCAAACACGTGCATTGTTAGTATGGATGGTATGGCACGTCAGTATGGCACGTCAATAGTGTATTAGTGATAATTGCATCCTCACTTGAGTGTTGCTTTGGAAAATATTCGGATGCTTTTGTTCTGAAAGCCATGCATTCACATTTCATATTTCTCTTTCACAAGTCTTTCCCCTCGTAGATTCTTTTTTTCTTTTTTAATGTGCAGTACAAACCTAGATTTTGAAAGATGAGCTGAGGTTTTTGAAGTAATCTTTATGAATGACTCTGGATTGGGTTAAAAATAAATGGTTCAAATGTTCCTCGATGACTCGCATACAACACATAAATGGGAATGCACCAGCGGCGACCATTATGATGGGCGGTCTATCTAGTCGTGACTAAACATGGTGTACAACCACTCAATCCACATGGCCACACTATGCAAGTACACACAGACATGGGAGAAATGTCGGCCGACCAGGCAGCCGGAACTGCCGCGTCAAGTGTTCTAGAGACCAAACAGCGACCGCAAAGGTTCGAGGAGGGGCAAGAGAGAGAGGGGGGACAAGGGCGGAGAAGACAAGAGAGACGGAGAAGTCCACCTGTGAGTTGACGACGGCGATGCGCGTGTTCGTTGGACTCTGGACTGTCCAAGGAGAGACTCTTCATGCGCAAAGACAGCTTCTTCCGCTGGGGGCTGTGTGGGGCTGTCGAGAGAGAGGGGGAGGGGGGACCAACAAAGGGACAAGCGGGGTTCCGCCACGTCAGCACGGGATTCTATGGCACAGAAAGCCACTACGGCAAACAGATGCACAGACATACGCACGCACACTTAAAGGAGCCAGCCTCCCTTACATCCTAAGTTGGCGACTCCTACCGCATAAACAGCAGCTAGTTGTGTCGCTACGGCTCAGCAGGGAGAGACCTTTTGCTTCGGTTTGAGACTTGGCAAGTAACATGATTACGTATTTTCCGGTCAGGTCATGCTGTTTATCTTGTCATTTGTATAGGTTGCATACCGTATGCCTACACACGAGCAAAGCTACAAACTTGAATGCACATGTAAGCTCCAGCTTCGAACCTGTTGTGTTCAATTCGTCGGCCGTTACAAGGCAATACTGCTCAGTTTGATATGTCATGCACTCTCAACAGTTTTCCCAAATGTAAATACAGGGCCAGACAGATCCAGACCATTATTGGTCACAACAAGGTGCATTCAATCCCATTAAAACATTAATGAAGAGCAAAAATGTAAACCAGAACAATCAAAAGAAAAGGAAGTGTCTCCCAATTGCTGGGGCATCTTCATGTCCTAGACCCGTCCCAACGCCAGGGAACGATCATGAACTGTTAAACAGAACAACAAATGTGCTGTGGTTACAGAGAGGAAGGCATGCAAGTATCGTGCGGCACAATGCGCATGGTTCGTTTAGCCATTCAGGCAACTAAGTTTTCAAGCAAAAGCAAAATGTGTGCCTTTGCAGTGCAGCAAGTTGGAGACCAAGAAATGTTTACGGGGTTAGCCCTGCTCTGCTGTGCTGTCAACATGTGTTATCAATGACATTTACTGTCAACCGCATGTGCTGTCAACATCATGTTGAGGCAGCAAGACCATGGGACCATGCAACACCGAAACAGTAAGCGACAACACCACACTACCTGATACTATCTGTCTCCAACGGGCTTTGCAAAGAGTGGGCATGGAGGAGAGAAAAAAAACATGGTGTCACCAATGAGGAAATGGTTGCGCGGGTGACACCGCCTGTGCATTCTTAATTAAGCTTGTAAGAAGAATGGAAAGATTTTTAAAAAATTCATAGAAGTACAGTTTACATGAACACACTCTTTACAAACACTTGCAATAGACCATGCTGGCAAGGGCAACCGAACTGCCAACGGAGCAGCGCAAGCTTTCAAGAGCCTCTGCCATCATTCTTGCGTCGCAATGGGCAAATGAAGAGCCACGACACGATGCAAGGGCGGACACACTGCTGGGGTTAGGCACGGAGCAGGTTGCCACAGCGTACGAGCATCAACTTAAGAAACAAAGAAGAGGAAGAGTCAACCAAACGAGTCGGAAGGAGACACTACTAAAAGGCCAAGGGCGCAGCCACGGCTAAACAGAACGGGCCCGCCTTGGGCGCACTGCGGTTTCCTTTGTCGCGCTCTACAACACTGACAGCAGCAACCACGCAGGCACAGCCACTTCTGGTAGCATGGTGCCTAGATCACGTCTTCGACTGGCACATTTAGCGTCCTGTCCCACCCACACATCGAAAGTGGTCCCGAGGTGTCGCGAAATCATGTTGGCGTGTCTCGCCGTCGGATGTCGCGATCCTGGTAGCTGGTCGCAGAGGCTCCGGCAAATAGTGCGAGCGAGCACGAGTGTCGCCGTCTTTGCCGCGTCCCGACTCCCGGCTGCCGTAGCTTCCTTAGACTGTGGAGCTGAAGAGCGACCCACAGCGGGACAGGTGACTGTCGCGTCCGTTGCTGCGACACTGCCAGGATCGTGTCCAGCAACGATGTGACACTCCTGTGACTTCGCCGGGCGGGAATCGAGGGATTACTTTTAAGGATGCGGTAAACGCGCCAGTCGAAGACACGCTCCAGGAACCGCACCAAGAGGTTCCGACAACCATATTCCTTGTCGAAGGAGGTCAGCGCAGCAGACGGATGACCATCGCCCTAAGGGCATGTACGTCCGCGCCCGCTGGCTGCGGCCAGGCGACTAGCGGCGCCGCGGAAGCAGAACTAAGACGCCGGATGGCTCGCGGCAAAGATGGCGGCCACAGCAAGGGAGAGAGGGAAAAGAGGATTGCTCGTTGTTCCTTACTGGGTCGAGGAGGAGGGGCCGAGGCCGCCATTAACCTACGCCCTCGGCAGACGCCTTCGGGCTGCCCTTGTTAACCTTAGAGCACTTCTTGCGCTGGGCTGCGCGGCGCCCTCAACGACGAGGAAACAGGAGAGAGAGAGAAGGAAAGAGAGAGAGAGAGAAAAAGAAAGTGGGACAGACACAGAGACACGTTCAAGCAAGCGAGCATGATGCACACTTTTCGGCAACACCGCAGCACGGACCACGACAACGGAGATCTGGCCGTGGCGTCGGGTGGTTTGGGAAACGGAAACGTGTCGGAGAGACAGGAGGTGTGGCGGGGGCTTTTTTGGGGACACTTTCTGCAAAGTGAGGTTAACTCGGCTGCTCTTCGCCCGCTCTCAGTTTGTACAGGGTCGTCACAGCGGTGTGCCAACACATCTGAGATACTATAATACAGCCATTGTGCCGAATTTATGGCATCACCTAAAGACGGCCAACACGGGGCAAAGGTTGGAAACCAGTGCTGTCTCGGTGTTTGGTTAGGGGCTCGTGTTTTCACCGACCGAAGACGTGACGAGAAGCTGGTATACCGTCCCTTTTTTAAGTGATAGTATGTCACTTAGGAAAAGGGTGTTCTTTGTTTCGTGTAGACCACACCTCGGTTCAGAGGCTTTGTGAGTGGCAGCCTGCAGCTGTGGACATGCTGCTATTTTTTGAGCGTGCATATATGTTATGGAAGCCTGTGTCACTGCTGCGTGTCTGCCTTGTGCAGAAAAAAGAAAGAGCAAATTGTGTTTAATTCTTCGGGTAATGTCGGCCGGTTAGAGTTTGATGACGCCATAGTATGCTTGCATACGAAAAAGCCACATAGGAGAACTGTTCAGTTAGGTTAATAGGAGTAAACGACTAATGTTCACTTAATTAAGCCAACAAAGTAAATAGGTATACTCAAACCTATTTGTTTTCTACATATGCACTTTTAATCGGTGGTCTGAGAGTATGTTAATTTGGCAGTCCTAACCAATGTTACCAAACCTGCACACACCAGAAACCAACACCCAATCCTCGTGCACGCAAACGTGCACACTTCGCACAGTGTGGGAATTCGTTCAAACAGTGTCCACTTTCCAGAGAGAGGCCCAGCGCTTGTTTCTTGTGCAAAGTCAAACCACCCGACAAACAGCGTCGCAAATTCCACGCGGGGGAAAAAAAAAAACATGTCACAATGCGACAAGTGCAAGGGGTCAGGCAGTGCTCAAGTTTGGAGGACGGAGTGAAGACGGGAAAAGTTAGGCTGGCGAGAACCAATTGCATTTTAGTGTCATGGCACGTAAACAAAACATTTGCCACGCTTTCATATGGAATATTATTGTGTTCTAAGTAAACAATACTGTCGGAACACCAACTATACTTCCTTTCAGCTTAAGGCCAGATGCAGCCAATGCTACAAGCGCGGCCATGTGGCCCTGAACAGTGCTTGCACTGCACGAGCGAGTGTGCCTGGCAGGAACACCGAAAGCCTGGAGCTCGCGCTTGTAGCATCGGCTGCGTCCGGACTTAAACTGAAACAAAGTATAGACTCCAGAAGAAAATGGCATACATAAACGTTTTGACAAACCAAAAAAAAAAAAAAAGAAAGCAAATCAGATGCGAGTATTCGGACAATGTTGGCTAGCTTGGACTTTAGATGAGAAATTTATCCAGTGCAGTATGACGGCTAGACTGCAGTCTTTGAAGACTGGTTCACATTTAAATTTGAGTGTGCTTGAGTGCGAAGCTCGTACAACGAGAAAATACACTGGCACACTGCTTTGCATACACATTTTCACCACTTTTTATGCGTCATCCTTTCACTGTGGCCTTGAAATATTTCCGAAAATGTTATAAGCAATCCCTTTTCATACAGTGCATAGATTTCATCTAGCGATTACTGAAAAATATTCAGTCTGGCTATGCCAATTGGTTGGATGTGTTTCCAGTACTATCCAGTAGATGGTGCCATTGTGTCTTTTTGTTGCAAGAGGTTTGCAAACGAGCAGAACACATTCAAGCATGCTCCAATACAAATGTGCGAACCTGCGTTAATGTGCGTCATAAAAAATAGATTGCACAAGTGCAGCCAGGTATGTACATATCTCTTCCATCTACCCTAGTCCCTAGCCATATGGTTAACGCATCTAGTATGGGCGATGAAAAGCAAGACAGCGCAACTTGGAACAAGAAGCAAAAAAGAATCTAGAAGAGGCAAACCAAGAAGGATTGACGGCCACGACAAAAACGTGAACGCCTATCCGCGAGGCGAGAGGAAAACAATGTTTTCCTTTATGCAGAGCGCAAGTTCGTCTGCTTCTTGCACAGGGGTTGCTATGACGTCAGAATGCTGAGCTCTTATTGGCTGATTAAAGAAAATAGTGGGCAGACCTCCAGGCATCTAGCATTGAGGTCTACCCACTATCCTTTCAACCAAAGCCATTCAGAGCTCGGCGTCATTCTGACGTCACTGCAACTCCTGCGCAAGAAGCAGACGACTTGCTCTCTGCACACCGGCAGTTCTGCGATTCAAGATGGCAGTGACCACGTAGAAGTACACGCACGTGTATTGTACGTCTGTGTACGACACGTACAAGTGACGACACAAATAGTTCGCCCGCGGCAAATGCGTCGCTGACTCACCAGAGGACGAGGGGTGGTGCTGGTGTGACGAGACGGTGAGCATATGCGACGACGACGACGAAGCAGACGAAGAGGCATTAGACCGAGGCCGCCTCTGCTGCAGCGAGGCCACGCTCGACGTGATGCTGCTGCTTTCGCCGCCGCCGCCGCTCAGACGTGGCGCCAGGGAGCCTTCCTTTTCGCCACGCCGGCCGCCGCCTCCGAGGTCGCCAGCCTGCTTCAGGAGCTGGTAGATGGGATCAACCGCATCCGGGATGCCCGTCGCCACGGTCACGGGTCCTGGGGCCGTCACGAGCAGGCGTTAGGACTCGCGGTAGCCGGAAAAGCCGACGCACGGCGACGTGTTAGTAGGCCAGGGTAGGAGCGCACCAAGCTACAAACTATGCAGAGTGCGCCTTCGTCTACTTCTTGCGCAGGTGTTGCACTGACATCAGAACGCTGAGTTTTGATTGGCTTTGACGGAGGGATAGTGGTTAGACCTCAATGTTAGCTGCCTTGAGGTCTACCCACTACCCTTCCCATCGGAGCCAATCAGAGCTTGGCATTCTGACGTCACCACAACCCCTACTCAAGAAGCAGACAAACTTGCACTCTGCATAGTCATTGACAAAATAAAAGTGCCATTTTTTTTTTCTGAGTGTTCAATTTTTAGCACGCGCTTCATGGTTACCATTGTGTTTTGACAGCACATGTACACTTGACACTCATATGATGTTGCAGCGTTATTAAGGTGCCTGGCACCACCGCCCAAACATCAAAGGTGGTCTTGAAGTGGCAACAACTATGACATCACAAATGCCGAAGTGTTGTGCCGTTCGATGTCGCAATCCTGGCAGTTGGACGTAGAAATCAGAATGAAAACAAGCATGGGAGAATGCCAGCGCCGCCGTCGTCGCAGCGTCCCAACTTCTGACTGCCGAAGCTTCCGTGGACTGTCAAGCTGGAGAGCGGCCTGCCGCGAACAGGCGTCTGCCACATTCGCTACTGCTACTGCGATGCCGCCAGGATCACAGCCGGCGACCAGCACGACTTTTCTACGATATTGTCGGGCGGAAATTGAGGGACCATGCTTCAGGATACGGTAAACACGCCAGTCAAAGTGGTGTTCCAGCCACTCCCCAGCTAGCACAGCATGTCGGCCAGCACTGGGCCTTCATCAGCCAGTACCGGGAAGTTGTTGGCCAGCCTCTGCTGTCCAGTTCTCAGTATTGGCCGACGTAGGCTCAGTGTTGGCCGAAATGCTGCGCTTGCCGGGCACAGTGTTATCAAAGGGGAGAAGCAGGACAACCAAAACTTTTCCCTGCCGTTTCCATTCTGTCCATGACTACTATGGTGGCTTTATTTCCAGCACCCTCATCACAATTGTATCTTTCGTGCTGAAGTAAAAAATCTTTCTCTCTCTCGACTTGAGGTTTTTCAATACATCTCGTGCCATCTTAGCAACTCGGCAAGAATGAATTGTGCATACGCTTTCCACTGTTGACTGAATTCAGCGACGATTACTCAGCCGCAAAGCTGAATTCATCTGAACGTGAACATATGACAGCTGGTTGGGACAATAATAATTATGGGAAGACTCCCATCCGAGCCCCAAATCTCGGGCACCCGAGACGTTTTGAGGCTTCCTCGGCCCCTTCTCCAGAGGCGACTGAGGTGCCAGCACTGAGGAGCGGAATCCCTTGTCCATTTGTTCTATGCTCGTGTTTTTTATTTTTCTATCAGAGATGTGACAAAGCCTGTCGACGTAAACAGATGGCGAAGTGTCAAGGGGTCTATCTATATTTTTCCGGCACGCTTTGAATGCGCCAGAATCTTGAGAAAAGTTTCTGTCAAGGATAATCTCAAGATTGAGGATGCAGGTGTGCTTGTGTCATCGAGATACCACCAGCAGTATCTTTGTGTCTGTGCTCCTACACTCTAGGTTTGAAAGCATGAACGTCAAAACCCATTCTGTTTGGTATCCGCAAACTACCGCACTCACTTTCTTCCTCTGGCTCGGCGGGGATGATCTTGGTCTCGATCTCGGATGCAGAACGCTGCCTCCGAAGCAGACGGGGCTTGGGCTGCATAAAATGAAATGACGGCAGATGCCTCGCAGTCAGACCCACACGATGCCACAGAGCACCTGGTGCAAGGTACCCAAGTTTTACGAGATAATGTGACAGATTTCATATATAAAGTAAGCAGAATAGGTACACTGGGTGAAATGGGTTTTAAATAAACTGCATTACAACATACCGGTTCACCCTAGAAAATGCTCAAAGGTTTTTAGCAGTGCTTTACTGGCAGATGAAGCGGGGAAGCCGGCATTCGAAAGTTTCAGCCTAATGCGTTACCAAGATGAAATGTTGGATGCCATTTTCTGAAGATTTCTGGCTGGCTACTGACATCGCAAGTCATGGGTGGTGTCGGCTTTCAGTTCTACATGATGGCATCTCCATATGGAAATAGCTCTTGCACTATCATTCAAGTGAATGTCAGCTAGTGACATCTGTATTGTGGCATCAGGTAGCTAGCTTGCAGCAGTAAAAACACATCAACGTTTGGAGCCTCCTTTCACTTTTAGTGTGAGCGTAGGAGTAGCTAGAAGAGCAAGCCCCGGGCTTTCTGCGTGCAGTAAAAACATCAATCAGGTCAAGATGCTTGTACTTTCAGCTTCGGCTCCGCCTACACATAGAGTGAAACGGAGTATAGAAAGCGAACAAGGAGGCAGACGGTGAGCGTGCGCACCTGACAGCGGCCGGCCTTCTCTTGACACTCGTTGTGGACGTTGTACTTGCAGAGTTTGCACTTGAGTCCCTGACGGACATGACCTGCGGAAGCGTGACGCAAGAAGATTACGACACGGAGCTCATGACGGTATATTAAGACTTGCTGAAGTGACGACGGCGCCCTTCGAACAAGAATAGGGGCAAAATGACATCTTGCTGTGGGCAGAAGGCACGACAGACGGCAGTTTGCGTGGCGGCTGTTTGTTTGCTATAAAGGCATATTCGAGTAGTAATGCCGTGCAGTGTGAATACATTGAGCGTAGTTGACTCCCGTTTTGCAAGCGAATGTACAGATGGAATGACATTTGGGCTTCACCCCCTTCCATTGCTAGATATAAACAGCCCCCATTCCAGCAACCAGGTGTTTTCAGCAAAGGCTTTCAAAAATCACTAAAAATTGGTTAGTTGCGAAAAAAATAAACTCTTTCCGAGAACAAACTGCTAGCCCCAGCAGACGTCAAGTGTTGGAAATAGCATACTAATTAAAGAAATAAATAAAATTGACTGATTGATTTTTTAATTAGTGAAAGTAGGCATATGGTTCCACTGTGAAACTCACTAAGCATCATTGAAAACCACTAGATCGACTCTTTTTAGAAAGGTATAAGGCAGGGGCAGCATTTTCCGGCGTTCCGTAAACACGCCCTATTTTAAATGCATTTCCAGGTTTTGGTATTTTATCGGAGCGCATCTTTGCGCCCGCGATTCTGCTCCTTGGCGGTCGTGGCGTAAAGCCACTACTTCACCTCCCTCGTGGAATGGAGGAAAGTATGGCACATGTGTGCTGCGTATCTTGGTCACCAGGGAGCAGGACTGCGGGTGCAGAAATGCGCTCTGATAACAAACCGAAACCTAGAAAAACATTCAAATTGGGCGTTTCTGCGGAATAGGAGTCAATTCTGCCCCTGCCTTATACCTTTCTAAAAAGAGTTGATTTAGTGGTTTATAGATGATGCTTGGCAAGTTTTCAGTGGAACCATATGTTTATTTCACAAATTAAAAAGGAATTAGTAAATTTTACTTAATCATTTTTCTAATTCATATGTTTTTTTGTTTTTTTTGCAATCTGTGGCATCCATTGTGGCTGGCAGTTTGTTCCCGGAAATAGCTTTTTTTGTTTCTCAACTGTCCTATTTTTAGGAATCTCTGAAAGCGTTTGCTGAAACGCCCGGTATATACTCCTTCCACGGAGCTGACTAAAAGCAAACATTTGTGCGAACACAAATTTCGCACGTGATGGCAAGAGTCAACCACCGTTGCTTGAGGCGTTTGGTTTACAAATGGACGTCGAGCAGAAGCGGTGCAAGCTCAGACTGTCACCGCAGTAGTGCAGTCACACAACCAGACCTGGAAGTTACTGCATCTTCGCGGCATCCCGACGCGCAACATTCATATATGCTTTCTCACGTCGAACGACGCCACAAGACTGCCGACGATCGAGTGGCTGCTCGTCGTCTGCACAGAGCGAGACGTTGCCGAAAAAGTAAAAGGACGGGATTGGGCACTGAAAGCGTTCATGTGACATCATTAGTAATTGGCGAGCGAGTTACTCGCCCATTCTGCCGTGGTACTTATAAAACAGTCCTCGACTCTAAGGAAGGGTCTGAGTAATCGATGCGGATGTAATCTGTGAGCATCCCAATTTCGGTGTATCTGCCAGCCGAAAATGATTTGAAACACCGAAATGGCTCAAGTGCTGTTACTTTGAAGCGTAGCTTACTGAGCTACCCTACTCTGTACGACGAAGAAAAGACGTCGTGCATTCTCACCTCTGAGGATCTCCCGGCAGGCATCGCAGGCGGTCACCTTCTTGTAGGTGTACTCTTGGAACATGTGCTGGCCCGTGTCCCAGGAAGATGAGCCGCCGCCCGAGTTGCCGGACTTTCCCCTCTTGTCGGATGCGTCAGGCCTGCAAGACGGAGACGTCAAGCGTTGCAGATGGGCCCTGTTACACTTATTCGTTTGAATCCTGGTGCCGTCCTTGGCACCAGGATTCGTCTCATTCAATTGGCACAGTTCGTTCATCAAAATACTATTGAGAATATCTCGTTTTTAGAGACCGCTTAAAATAATGACAATAACCCGCAAAATATTTCGTGTGGTTCTTGTCTTTCGTAGGTGATCATATCATGAGTTTATAGTCTAAACAAGAAAGTGTGCATGTACACATGGTTGCAGAAACGGTAAGGGAAATTCTGGAGCACGACGAGCAGTTACTGTGAGCCAAAAAGTGTTGTAGTGCGTTTACACGGCAGCTTGTGCCTCCAGAACACATCTGAATGGATACATTCCCTTTTGGTGCATTCATAGGACAGATAGGAAACGCCCAAAGACAAGGGCAATGTGGGGCTGTGGTTAGCATACTCGACTGGTAATTACACAGTTGTTGCTTGTTGACAGTTGCTACACTAACCGCACACATTACCGTACTAGCCAAAGTATTACAAGGGCACAGAAGACGGGCACCGACTGCTTTGCTTCGTGACGCCACATTGTTAATCCCTCATGTTTGTCAATCGCTCTTTTCGCTGCTCCGACTACACTCTAGGAAATCTGGAGCTTCCACTTTTCCGTGGAGCATCCTAAAATCCAAAATCGAGGCGGTCCTAGTGGTGTAGTGCCGTGCAAAGCATCTTGGGAACCCCTTGGCCCAAGTTTCGCTTTCGATTTGCCCCCACCTCACTTCACAACATCCTGTCACGACCAAACACAGTGCTTACACTTAAGAATGTGTGACATTCCTTAAATTTATAATACGGTAGATGCTACTATAACAACACAGATAAAATGCTGGTGCGCGTTCTCTCTGGGGCTCCTCCGGACATGCCAGAGTTTGTGCGCAGGTAACCAGGACTACGTTGGCATGTGGCAGAAGTAAAATACTGGGCCGGTCATCCTGCTCCATCGTCTCCTCAACGTCCTAGGCTCCTTAAACTATCCACGAGCAGGGAGGGCCATCCTCCACTCTTAAGTGGTAGCCAGGTTGCCAGACAGGTATGGGACATGGGCAGAACTCCCCATTCCTCTCTCCTGCCTGGGCAGGTCCTTACAACTGCTGGATGCCCACGTTTCAATGTGGGCTCTCACGAAGATGAATAGGTGGCAATGCGAGCGGGTGCCAGCTTTATTTTCATGCAGTACCGAGACGCACTACTTTGTCAATGGGGCAGTTGAAATCGAAACCATGCGACTCCCATCCACAGTTAAACAGGTTCCATAGTGACACGCGCACAGTGTTGCATGCGGGGATTTTCAGAAGTAGTCTATTGCTGCACTCCGCGGTGAACGCCAATGCTGAAAGTATGTCTAAATCTAAAAAAAGACTACCTGCGCCGTGGCACAGAGCACGGTGAACTCTCATGCCCAGTGCCACAGCACAGACTTCGTTTAGGATCTAAACATATATTTTCAGCCTTGCAATTCGCCGAGCGCTACCTCCAAAGACAGCAGTGACTGGTTCTGCTTTGCTGGAAATTAGACAATCCGATTTTCTTGGAGTGCAGTCGGACCGTTTGCATCCGACGGAAGCGAGGATCAAATTGCTCACTTGTCCGAGGCCCCACTGGCACCGCCGCTGCTGGTGCCGGTCTTGAGGCTTCGGAAAGCCTTGAGCCACTTGTTCTTAATGGTGCCTGTCACCGGCAGGGCCGGGGTCGTCGCCTTGCGGTCGCGGCAGTTCTTCTCCTCGCTCACTGCTTCCACCTCCTTCCCCCGAAACAAGGAGAACTGGAAAGAGATGATTCCGACAGCTCATTTTCGCGACAGTTAGGGCAGAGACTGGCGTGGCTATGTGACGTGGGTCGTCACTGTGGTCTGTGTTACGCTCCGTCTCGCCGTAACTCGGCAGACGGCGAAGGCTACGGTCCCAGTCGATGCGTCAAAGAGAGACACGTGGCCATTCTCTATCTCACTAGTTGCACGCAGTGCTGTCCAAGCCACGGGCATGAGAGAGGAAAGCTGTTTGAGTTCGAGTGACGGGCTAATCTCCGAGGAGGGAGGAAAGCAATGCCTGAGACAGCTAAAAGAAGGTCTGGGTAAGGGTAAGAGGGGATTTTCTCCTTCCCCTCCTCTCGAACTGCACAGGTTACAGTCTCGCCTCTGTACCCTTGGTACGGGCCATCATGCGCTTTGCTGCCGTCGCTCTGAACAGTTCAAATGGGCCGTAGTGTCTGTTCTTCGCCAAGTTACGGTGAAGCGAAGTATAGAATGCAGGAGTCGTTCTTAGGTTCCATCGACACCACCTAGAATAATCACAGCCTTGTCTACCTCCACGCTCCACGGCACATCATCACACTCCGAGGGCTCTGACTTGGGGGCCCGAGCCGAACACCGAGTGTCCTTCGATGCACTGACTGGATGCCGGGCCCAGCCGAACGCCGATGCAGTGCTCGTGTCCTATCCGTGTCTGTACTCATTCTCACAATGACGTCGGCAAGCTTCTAGTGCACGGACTAACTATTCTAGAAGGCGTTTTCTTGATCTGCACCCCTGCCCATTTTGATTGGGTGAGTATCGTGCTGCTGTGCCACCACGTAACCACTACTGTGTGATGCGTATAAGAAGCAGACACTGGTTAAGAGGCGTACTTCACTACAGTGGACACATTGGATGCCAACTGAAGGCAAACTATCTCTTTCTGTTTAAACCTCCTTGCAAACGAATTTTGATCTAGATCAACATTTTGAACACTTTACTGACAGCGTAACACGGCGATATATGCGATGAAAGCCACTTGTGACAGTTCAATTTAAAGTTAGCTCTATTAGCGTAACCTCGTAGCCTAAGGTTTGAAGTTAGCAGTGCATACTGCAATACTTTTTGACGAAACACTGATGCCAGTTATCTGTTAAATGAAAGGAAATGCGGGAGTTCTATTACTGGTTATACAAGGAGATGCAGAAAAGAGGAAAAACTGACCTGAGCTTTGACAGCTGCCAAGTGTATCTGTGCGACGTGGAGGTCGAATCGTTTCAAACTAATGTCCTCTTGGAGCTCGTTGGCCTTGTTGTACAGGCTCGATTCCAAGCTCCTGAAAGAAGCAGACAAAAATATTGCTATAATCGATACCCATTCCTTTTTTTTCTTCCTTTTACAGACAGGTGTTGTACACTGACATGGCACAAAGGCGACATCAGCGCTCCTTTGTATTGCTTAGTCTATTGTATTTCCCAAAACCCCAAACGTTTACTGTTTACTGGTGAGTACATTTCACCAAACTTGTAGTTTTAATAAAACTCGCTCTTTCCTCATAAAAACACGGTGAAAGAGGAAAAAAAAAAAAGAAAAAGTAATCGCTACGCGTAAATAGTTGCGGTTTGTCACGTGTCGTAGAGCGAAAAATTTCCGAACACGGTAAACGCCAAGAAATTTAGTATCAGTGTCAACCTGACTTACTTAAAAACTATGACGAAACTACAGCACATAGAACGTGGCCGAAATCCGCAACCGAAATAACCTTGAAATTTGTTTCTCTGCCGCCCTTGAATAACCGCGGGATAACCGGGTCAGTGCGCACTTTAGATTAGCTACACTGCATCACTTCTCCATTGATCTCGAACGCCAAGCTACGGTTTCGCGACTAGCGACAGAACCGGCCACTGCGGCGCAGGAAACGTCAAAGTCGAAACAGACTACGTACGTGATAAATTAGAGATATGAGGAACGGAGCAATGCGAGTCTGATCCGCGATGTTTTTGTCGGAGCTTGGCAAAGCAACGGCTGGGCAAGGGGCGCCTTGCGCAACTATCAGCTGCTCGCGAAGTTAAGCGAACCAGACCCTTCTCTAAGTCGCAAATAGTAACTTTATAAGTATATATGAGGAAGGTGGGAACAATCCGGCTCGCTCAAGAACTCACCTGACACCCTCCAAGGCCTGTTTCCGCCGTCCCAAGCCCGAAATATCGGGCAGGGAACGCCGCGGAAACCAGAACCGGACGCCATTTATAAACAAAATGGCGGCGAACGAGCTCCGTTGATGTCCCCATCGATTGGAACTCCTGTCGCCGACTGCGGGGGCGGTAGCAGACGACGATTACAGGTACTGCGCGACGTTGGCTATGAAGCTATGATGTGCGTCGCATCGATCAAAAGCACCGATCTGCGACCACGGAAGAGTTCGATTACTTGGCTAATGCGTCTCCGAGTAGTCGTACCTCGGCGAATGTGGGGCAAGCGGGATACATTTGCCCTCCCGGCTTAATCACACGTCTCGCGTAGTCTGCTCCCCTTGTTTGCTTAGGAGTGCGGGTGCGCGCGATTTGGGTACGTGCGAGGTATTAACGGGACGAACAATGTTCACGATATAATTAATGAACATGTACAGAGGGAATATGATGTTTGAGTGGCACTGACTTAGCAAAAAGCGACTAAGCAAATTAATAGTTTTTTTTTTGTGTGTGGAGAGAAAATGTGAATTTAAATCCTATATTTCTGTGATAAACAAAAAAAATATTAGTCGCACACGAAGACCAGAAGGAAAAAATACAGACCTTAAAGTTTCTTTATTAAAAAAAAAAAAAAGACGATCATAGAATTGATATTGGGCGACGCTTCAAGGACACAACCATCCGCATAAATAAATCGATCACAGATACTCCAAAACTCTCATATATATATATATAAAAAAACACGCACGCACTCACGCACGCACGCACGCACGCACGCGCACACACACACACACACAAAAAAAAAAAACGCGCAGGTGAACAGAAAAAACAAACAAAAACGCGTACATACAGAAAGACGCAGTTTCGTGCACTCGTTCATTAACTTTTTTCGCGTTACGTGCTCATGAGCGACGAATGCTTATAATGATGCACAACAGGTAGATGTTGAGGTAAAAATTGTGCAGCACTTTGCCCATACCTGGCAAAGTTGTCGTACATAGATTGCGTATGACGGTCACGTGGTGACTTGACGTCATGTGACTCCGCACGTCATATCACGGGCGAACGCGCGCCTTGTTGTTACGCTCTCGCGTGTCTTTGGAAACCCTAAAAAAAGTATTGTACCTCAACACGCCAGTGTCAGCCGCACGGAGGGTGTACCGACAGGGCAGTGAAGTTTCTAGAAAGCCTATCCCCGCTTAGTTTCCAGTACCATGTTCGCTGTACGAGAAAGCCCAATTAGAGCTCCTATGTTCAAGGTGCCGTGCAGCGAGGCTAAAGTTTTTATATACGCTACTGAATGGCGATTTTTAATGCCACAACTGGTCCGAGTTACGCGAAGCTTGTACAACAGGGCACTGGTTCCGTATTTTTGTCGTACTGACTCTTCTAAATTTACCCTTTTTTTCCACGAACAATCAAAGCGTGGAACAGCCTTTCCGAAGTGCAGGTGAACTCATGATAAGTCGTAGTGTGCAGAAGTGCACAAGGCGTTTGAGATTAGAGCAAAGGGAGATGACTGCGTTAGCGAGCCTTCCCTTGCCCTCTCAGGGAAAGAGTTTGATTTTATCAAGAGGTCTTCTGGATTGAAGGGATGAATAGGCGTTTTTGACGGCCTATATATTATGTGTTTTTTCCTAAATAAACTTTAGTTGCGAGTGCGCCTCGTCCTGTTTACTCTCGTTTTTGTCCTGTCGTTTTTTGGCGCTGTATTTACTGAAAAGTCGTATTATTTAAAAAAACAAAAAAAAAAAAAAAAAAACATTGGAAGGCTGTCCGTCAATAGTTGACTGTTTTGTATCGTTTTGCTGTTCGTTGTATTTCTATATTATTATTGCGTATTCACTACATTTTATTATTTTCTCGTACGAGTTCTTGTCCAGTAAAGTGTACCGACCCCTCCTGCCACAACCTCCAAAAGGAGGTTAGCGGTATTTATAAATAAAAAGTGCGAGCCAACCGGTCTCCCACCTCTGTTGCAGCCTGAGCAGTGCGTCGAGCGTCTCCTGCAGCTGGCGGACCTGCGTCTCGAGCTGCCCGATGTCCTGCTTGAGGCTCTCTGCCCTGGCCGCCACCGAGAGGGACGCCAGCCGGTCAACCACCATCTGCTCGCCGAGCGTCTGCTGGGAGTCCTGGAAATTGCGGTCCAAACCAAGCCGCAAAACGAGCCCGCAAAAATAAGAAAAGCGGAACCCGTTCCTTCTATTTTTTTTAGAGCGCAGCTCTTAGGCGCCCGTTTCCGGCTTGAGCGGCGTCGGCGTAACCAAGGTCACCCCAAGGTCACGTGACCCCCCCAAGGTCGCGTGACCCCTCCCAAGGTCATGTGACCCCCAAGATGACTCCCCCGTGACCCCCCTCCCCCCCCCCCCCCCCGAAGTCACGTCACCCCCCCCCCCCCGAGGTCACGTGACCCCCTCCCCCGAGGTCAGGTGACTTCAAGAAGAGTGGTTGTTTGGGCGAGTTGGTTTGACATCTTATACAATCTTGTGCGCAACAAAGACGAGGACAAAAGCAGAGAAGAGGAGACAACAAGGCGCAACTTTCAACTGAATTCTATTGAAAACGTGTTCCGGTATATATAGTCTCAACCATCGTCACAATGACAACAAAACGACAAAGGTAAAGGAAAAACACCATCACAGAGCATAACTGGGAAACAACACCATCTCGTTCTCAGGAAAAACAATTCCTTCTCCGATAATGCAATCGACGGCATAGCAACACACATGTCTCCTAAATAATCAATGTGCTCGGCTTCTATGATTTCGCGTGTTACCGCTGACTTGCATTTCCCAATTTTTACGCATTCATCCAACAGTGGGGTTGTACCCCACTGTTGGATTGATTCATCCAACAGTGAGGCATAACTGTTGGATTGATTCATCTAACAGTTATGCTCTGTGATGGTGTTTTTCCTTTACTTTTGTCGTTTTGTTGTCATTGTGACGATGGTTGAGACTATATATACCGGAACACGTTTTCAATAAAATTCAGTTGAAAGTTGCACCTTGTTGTGTCCTCTTCTCTGCTTTTGTCCTCGTCTTTGTTGCGCACAAGATTGTATAAGATGTCAGGTGACCCCCCGGAATGTATTAAAGAATGAGGGGAGGAGGAGGAGAAGGAGGAGGAGGGGTCTACCCTCCCCTCAGTACCCTTCCCTCCTCCTCCTCAAGAGCTGCGCTCCAATTGGGCGTTACAGGGAGTTGTAAACGGCTCTCTCATCTTTTTAAGTTCCGTTTGCTGTTTTGGTTTAAAAGCGCGCGGGAGTGTATGAACGAGAATTTGAGGTAATAGCACGCTGGAAAGCGGAAGGCTAGAGTAGCGCCATTTTGAGAGCGAGAGAGAATAGGGGAAACCGGGCTACCGGCGCTTTCCCCCTTGCTGGTGCGTTAGAAAGAGTGGAGGTCCCGGATGAGAGGCTTCGCCGATGTTGGGTGTATGCATCGCCCGAACTTGCTTCGCCCTTTCTTCTCTGTTTTACACTCCTAAACTTAATTAGAGCCGCGGGCTTCGATGACGACAGTGCCCCGGCCATCGGGACACCATCGACAGAAAGCGTCGAATACTGTCAGATGACCCATGTTGCTTGCGCGGAATCCGGCAAGTGCGGCGGCAATGTCTCTAAGCTACATCGCTTTCCACATGACCCCGATCTCCGGAGGAAGTGGGTTGCGTCCGTAAACCCAAGATACTTTTTCCCAACGTCATCCTCCCGAGTCCCGACTGTGCTCGGAACACATTATGAATGCAGCGCGCACTGAACACTGTACCGCCGATGAACATGGGGTACGCTCGCAAGGTGCGTGCAAGGTTTCTCGTGATAATTGTTGTCTCAGCTTCTAACTTTTTGTAACTGAATTTATCTTCATAATGATATTTTGAAGTGGTGACACTGACTGGATTTTATCATTTACACCACTTAGCTGAAGGCTCATATTCGCCGCCGGGTGTGGTTGAAAATTGTCGAAATGTTGGTTGTATCGGTTTTTCTGAATCGCGATCTCTTGCGCGATACCAGAGAACTGTGAACCTATGTTGAGCATCACAACGCGACTAGATTCTTCTTATTTTCAAAAGTAGTACACAATGTAGCTGGAAAGAAACCTACAATTCCTGTTGCTGGAAGTTGAACAAACATGATCTTGCAGCGATTTCGAGTCGTTGAATCTTTGATCGACTTGCTCCGGCAGTATCCCATGTCGACGAGTGTGTCTTTTGTCAAGAACTGAAAACAGCAAAGTCCAGATGAGCCTAGTCCAGACGAATGTGAATGTGAATGCATTCACATTCACATTCGTCATCTGGACTTTGCTGTTTTCAGTTCTCGACAAAAGACACACTCGTCGAAATGGGATCCTCAAATAAAACGTTTATACACACCTTCAAGCCGGAATGAGCTGCCTTCGTTCGTTGCATGCAATATCCTTATTTCGCGCGTCCCTGTTCCCACCATATTTTATTGCTGTGGACGACACGAAATGCCAAAAACATTCTCGGTGTGCTGCATCTAAAACGATAAAAAAAAAAAAAAAAACCTGAAGGGAAATTCAATCGCTGTAAAATGATACAATATTTGCAGCACTCGCCTCGTTTTTATAAGGTATTTATAAACGTTTTATTTGAGAATCCCGTGTCGACGAGTGTGCCTTTTTTTCCAGAACTGAAAACAGCGGAGTCGAGATGAATCTATTGCCGGAGCGAGTCGACCAATGATTCAACGATTTGAAATCGATGCAGGGGCATGTTTCAACTTTCAGCAACAGAAATTGAAGGTTTCTTTCTAGCTACATTATGCACTAATTTTGAAAATAAGAAGAATCTAGTCGGCGTTGTGACGGTCAACATAGGTTCACAGCCCTCTGGTATCGCGCAAGAGATCGCGATTCAGAAAAATCGATAGAACTAACTTTTTGTCTATTTCCAGCCACACCACCCGCGGCGGTGTAATAGATAATAAAATGGAGTCAGTGTCACTACTTCAAAATATCAATATTAAGATAAATTAGGTTACAGAAAGTTAGAAGCTGAAGTAGCACTTATCACGAGAAAACTTGCACGCATTTTG